GAGTTCAATCCTCAGCACCACATAAAAATAAAATAAAGGTATTGTGCCCAACAGGGCACTGAGTTCAATCCTCAGCACCACATAAAAATAAAATAAAGGTATTGTGCCCAACAAAAACAAAATATTTAAATTTTAAAAAACCCCGGCAGTTAAACAGTTATGTCAGAATAATAATGGTGATGACTTCAACAGGTAATGTTTACTGTCTGTTTAATATGTACAGTACATGGACTGCTCTAAGTGTTTTGCTTGTATTAATTGCCTTAAACCTCAGGAGAACCCTATGAGCCAAATGTTGTTATATTAGTCCATTTGGGCTACCATAACAAAACACCATAAACTGAGTGGCTTATAAACAACAGAAATTTATTTCTTGGGTTGGGGCTGTAGCTCAGAGGCAGAGTGYCTGCCTCTCATGTGTGGGTTCCATCCTCAGCACCACATAGAAATAAATAAATATATTGTGTCCATCTACAACTAAAAAGAAAGAAATTTATTTCTCATCATTTCAGAGGTTGAGAAATCCAAGATCCAGGCTCCAGTAGATAGATTCAGATTATGGTAAGGGCCCACTTTCTGGTTCAGAGATGGTAAATTTTGGCTTTGTCCTTACATTGATGAATAGAAGAAGCAGCTCTCTGGGCTTTTAAATTTTTAGTTCAATTTAATTTTATTTCATTTTTACAAGGGCTCTGCCTTCTTGATCTATTCACCTCCCAAAGACCTCATCTAATACTGATATTGGTGATTAGGTTTTAACATTTGATTTTTTGGGGGAAGAAGATGTGAATATTCTATCCATTATGCAGTTCCAATCCACAGGTTTCCTACTGAAGATTTCCCTCCCGCTCCAGCGAGTTCAGTGTTTTGTTCTGTTCATGCCTTCAACTGGTTGGATAAAGCCAACCCACATTTATGGAGGGAGGGCAATTTGCTTTATTCAAAGTGTACCCTTTTAAATGTTAAACTCATCTAAAAGAAACCTCACAGAWTACCCCATGTTTGACTATACATGGGGTGTCATGGTCCAACCAAACTGACACATAAAATCAACCATCACAGTTAGCTATTGTTATAATCTGTACTTTACAAAAGGGTTCTATCCTCAGTACCACATATGAATAAATAAAGGTATATGTGTGTATATATATATATATATATATATATACACATACATACACAAACATACATACATACATACTACAGCTACTAAGTGTTGAGTCAAGATTATTGCCAGGGCTTTCTGGCTCCAGAGTGTACCCTTTAGGGGATTCCTGTGAGCTTCAGCAGAGAGTTTGAGGAAGCAGAAGGACACCTAGCCAAAGGATTTTCAAAGCAAAAGAGCTGGTCTGTAAATAGTGAGCATGCYTTTAGAACAATAAATGCTAGTATTAGAATAAAAGAAAGTCCTTAAATCATCAACAACTTCAGCTTTTTCCTTAATAAATGAAAGAACAAAGATAAAATTAAACCCAAAATGAGCAAAATAAAGGAAATAATAAATATTGAGTGTAAACCAGTGAAATAGAAATAACAATAGAGGAAAAAAATCAGTGCCACCAAAGCTTGAACTTTGAGAAAATCAATAAAATTGATAAACCTCTACACAGGCTTAACAACAACAACAACAACAAAAACCCACAAAAAAGATGATATAAAGATGAAATGATAAAATTACAGACTGTACATGAATTAAGCAATGGAGAGCTGGGCACAGTGGCACATGCCTGTAATCCCAGCAGCCTAGGAGGCTGAGGCAAGAGGATCTCAAGTTCAAAGTCAGCCTCAGCAACTTAGTGAGTCCCTGAGCAACTTAGCAAGACTGTCTTAAAATAAAAAATGCAAAGGGCTGGGGATGTGGCTTAGCGATTAAGCACCCATGGGTTAAGTTCTCATGGGTTCAATCCTTGGTGCTCCAAAACCAAACCAAAATAAAACAGAAAAATCTTCCCCCAAAGAAAACTCCAGGCTCATCTGGACTCACTAGTGAAGTACAGCAGACATTCAGGGAAGAAATAAACCAATCCAGTCAAGTTCTTGCAGAATACTGATGAGGAAGGAATATTTTCCAATTCATGTGAGGAGGCCAACGTTACTCTGTTACCAAAAGTACAAAAAAAATACTACAAAACAACAACAACAATAAAACTACAGGCCTGGTGTGGTAGTGCACACTTGTAATCCCACCAGCAGCAGCTTGGGAGGCTGAGGAAGGAGAACCCTGAGTTCAAAGCCAGCTTCAGTGACTTAGCAAGGCCCTAAGCAAGGCCTCAAGAGCCTGTCTCTAGAAATATAAAAAAGGTCTAGGGGGATGTAGCTCAGTTGGTAGAGTTCTTGCCTTGCATGCACCAGGCCCTGGGTTCAATCCCCAGCACCACACACACACACACACACACAGAAAAAGATGGAGATGTCGCTCAGTGGTTAAGTACTTCTAGTTTCAATCCTCAGTACCAAAAAGAAAAGAGAAAAAGAAAAATCTAAGACCAATATCTGTCATGAAAATAAATGTAAAATTCTGAACAAAATTTAGAAAACTGGGCTGAGGACGTGGCTCAAGTGGTAGCGCGCTCGCCTGGCATGCGTGCGGCCCGGGTTCGATCCTCAGCACCACATACCAACAAAGATGTTGTGTCCGCCGA